CAGTCTACTATCATGTTTAAGCCCATAGGAGAACACCTTGACCCAGCTTGGAAGTGGAACAGCTTGAATGATGCAAACGATGAGATAGAGTTGGAAGAACAAGAAGAATTTAATGAGGAGGGGTGGTGAATGAAGAATTCAAAGGGCTTGCAAGTCGGATCTATTTTTTTGACTGTTAATATATCAAGGCTTAAACTTTTAAACTAGAACCTTGTTTTTAATTCAATGTTTTGACTTAAAATGTTTTAATCATTTATAGCATCTTATGTTTTGCTCATGAAACTAAAGAGTATTTCTAAGTAACTTAGGATTTATGAATGTTAAGATGTTTGAATTCAATATTTGTATGCAATGTATTATATATGCTTCTAGTAGTTACTTATCTATTATATTTGAAAGTAGCCTAAATAGCGGTCATCCCGCTATCCGCTATACCGCTATAGCGTTTTGGGGGCTGGCCGCTCCGCTCCGCTATCTGGGATTGACAACACTGAACTTCGCACAAGGGACAAGAGAATAGCATAATTGATGATGGTACTGTCATTAGATCTATAATCATTCACCATTAGCTCTTGGTTTCTGCTTATGAAAACCATTTCTTGTTACAGTATCTTGGCCTTCCTAGCTTTGCAAGAAAAGGGGATGGATTTGACCTTTTGGGTCAGTCTGGGTTTTGTGTTTTATAGGGGATGGGTTTGACCTAAGTGTATATCTTGATATATACTTGAGATTTATAAAGACTGAAGACTCATATTGTGTGGTAATGCTATATTTTGTGAAATAATGACTAGTATATGACTAAAATAAATGCTGGGCAGAAATATAATTTCTAATACGCAGTTTCCACAATGGTACTTTCACAGTGACCATGGTGATGTTTAGTTTTACTTTATAAGACTATGGTGGTGTTTTGATTGCGACTGTAATGTGCATGTAGTCATATTTTTTCCCCATAAGTTATATTCTACTTCTAGTAATATTTTAGGATAACTCTCTATTTCAATGTTTGTTTACTCATTCCAAGAACATTGTATAACCTTCCAAAGCCCGCCCTCCAAGCTGTCAATGCAAACATACACTTGATGTTAATCTCAACACAACAACTGTTTGAATGCAGGTATTGGCAGAGTTGAAGCCGTTTGTTATTCTAGCTGAAAAACTTGGCAGACTTGCTGTCCAATTAGTAACAGGTGGAAGCGGTGTGAAGTCCGTGAAAGTGACATATGGATCCGCACGAGCCCCAGATGACCTAGACACAAGGGTTCTTCGTGCCATGATAACAAAGGGTCTTATCGAACCCATCTCCAGCGTCTTTGTCAACTTAGTCAACGCGGATTTCACTGCCAAGCAGAGAGGCATCCGTATATCTGAAGAACGGGTAGTTCTAGATGGTTCCCCTGAAAGTCCGCTCGAGTTCATTCAGGTTCAGATTGCAAACGTGGAGTCAAAGTTTGCTAGTGCCATTTCGGAGTCAGGAGAGATCAAAGTGGAGGGCCGTGTCAAAGACGGAGTCCCACATTTGACCAAGGTTGGTTCCTTTGAGGTTGATGTGAGTTTGGAAGGGAGCATCATTCTTTGCAGACAGGTTGATCAGCCGGGTATGATTGGGAAGGTGGGCAGCATTTTAGGGCAGGAGAATGTAAACGTGAGTTTCATGAGTGTTGGGAGGATTGCTCCAAGGAAGCATGCTGTGATGGCGATTGGAGTGGATGAACAGCCTAGCAAGGAATCGTTGAAGAGGATTGGCGAGATCTCTGCTGTTGAGGAGTTCGTTTTCCTTAAGTTATAAAGCAATTCTAAATACCTCTCAAATTTCTATATGTGACTTTTTTGTAGTTCTTATTTGCCGGGAAAAGAAATGTTTTGCTTTTGCAATTTTTAGAGTATGAACAAAGTTCGAGCACTATTAGCTGTGATCATTGTTCAAGTTTTCTGTATGAAATGTGTTTTATTTGTATGAATTTCAATTTTCTCAATAAATAAATGGAAAAGGGCCACTAGTCAAAGACTTCATTCATTTTTGGTAAGTTTACCTTTTATAAAATACCCAACTACCTTTACTTTATCTATTTTTTATCTTCTCTTTTATACTTTTATACTATCTTGATAGTGTCCGGGTTGGGCTTAGGGTGGGCCCAGGTCTGGGAAATGGTGGCCAGGAACCGGACTGGCTATGTTCTGGTCCCGGTCCCAGGTCGGGTACCATTTATTTATTGCTTATTATTTCTATCCCCCCTACCCCCACCCCCAAACCACCCTACCAACCCGCCTCCTACCCAAACCAGTCGAAAAAACCCAAAAAAAAAAATTAGGCCCGGACTGGCCCGGTCGGTACCAAAGGAGGGGCAGCCCGGAACCGCCCCCAAAAATCTCCCTGGGCCGGTCCTAGCCCCGGAACAGTCCTGTGGGAAAAAATACATTTTCTCATGTAGATTCTTGTACAACTAAATAAAGGGGTATGGTGATCGTTTGATCAACATCACCTGCCCCTTTTATCTTCCAGCAAAGGCTTTCCCATGGAAAATTTGCTTCCCGTCTGGAGATTTTGCTTATACATTTGAACGGTTGACACCTGGAAACAGTCTCTCTGTGTTTTAGTACAGGGGTAAGATTGCGTAAAACCGACCTCCCTTACCCCATCGTAGATGGGAGCCTTTGCGGCATTGGGATATAATGATGATGATGGTGAATTGAGTGCTTGACATCCTTCTGTAATCAATTCATGAACGAAATGAAAGGAACTTCAGAAAGGCTCAGATTGTGAACAGCCAGATATGCAGCAATTCCGGCATCACCTCACTGAATAGAATAAGAACAAGTCTGCATAAAATTTTATCCGAAACAATACTAACTGTTTAATCCCTCTGTGTGTCCCCCCCCCCCCCCCTCAAATCAAGGTACGACTTTTTAATTATGATACCATACAACCAGGGGCGGAGCTAGAGCACTGGGCCGGGCTAGGTCAGTACAAAGAATATTTTTAAATTTTTTTTTACACGAAATAAGAAATATACCTCGCCAGAGACATTAAGAGCCCGTTTGGTAACACGAAAATCGGGTGATTTGGCTGATTCTGCTGAAATTTATGGAGTTCTGGCTGAAGTGACTGCATTGGCTGATTCTGCTTATTTAAGAAAATATATTTTTAAAATATATTTTATTAATATAATAAAGAAAAAATTATATGTAAAAATAGCTAAAATGGTAATCTACAATAACTTCAGCTAATACAGCCAGAAAAGTAACTTCAACCATACTTTTTCTGCTTATTATACAATTTAGCGCGCGAAAGCAAAAATTACGTGTTTGGTGAAAAAGTTGGCTGATAAGCCTGAAAAGCCGAAAACAGTGTTGCCAAACGGCCTCTAAAGCTAATGGAACAACTCTAGAGATTGATGATGGCAAAAATAGCCCCTGCAAAAGGTAAAAAAGAATTAAACTTCTTACAAACGGCTAAAACAATTTGGACGCAACGTGAAGTAGATCTTTATTTTCGCAAAACATATGTAATCACTTCAATGATCAGAACTAGTTTTACCAAGCTCTACGATATGGAATAATTCCGAAGAAATTTGACAATTCATAATACCCTCATCAATATGAAGATAATAATTTAATTATCACCAAAACATTCAATGCTAAGCCAAAACAAATATGATGTTCCCATGAACATCAAAACCTTCATTGTTGGTAGTGCGGTTATTTGACCATGAATCCAAAGCATGGTGGTTGTAACATCACCAATTGGAGTTAGCATCTGCTTAAATAGAAATCATTTTAAAGGATTGAGTGACAAAGATCAGTACTGCTTGCACTCACTTTTGATATTCTGATGGAGGTGTCAACCTCCTTAAATAGTCGTTAGATTATCAATGTCAAGGATTGAACTAAGATAAAAGGTCACGAAACCTACCTATAAGAAAGTTAGGTCTAATTAGCATGCAAGTTGCAAAGGGTTTTAAAGGATAAATAATAAATAATTAAGTAAATAAATAAATAAATATAACATTAAGTATCATTATCACCAACCGCCCAAAGCAGAGATTTTGGTGGCTAGTAGTAATGTTATCTGTAACCAACTTAAAACCCTGGTGAGCATCAACTATCTCGACAATTGTTATTTCACTAAGCAGAAAGAACAATATTTCAACTAATTTCTCTGAAAGTGCTACATCAATTGAAGGGGTATGAGAAAGCGATAAATGAAATAGTAAAAAGGTAATGAGCTCTACCATATTCATTTTACGTGGAAAATTTCATTTATGTTTGCAAGAGTGACATTTAAAAGCACAATTTTAGTTCTGTTTTATGTTCACATGGGAAATATATGTTTCTACACCGGTTTAATTCATCACCTACTATATATGTAGTGTACTTATAATTCTTATATTCCTTCACGCGGTCTTTTAAATTTTATGCGATCTTTCCAACGATTCAGTTTCTCTTACTCTTAATTTTCCTACAATTTGGAGGAAAACATATCAATCGCCATAAGAGAATTTTTTTTATACTTATTCCATTCCATTTATGTAAGATTAGAAATTTTGTGGAAATTATGAAGTTATGAAGTATGAACTATACTGAGTACAAAATGAGATTGAGAGCACATGAGATGACTTTTGAAAAATAATACTCCCTACGTGCTTTATAGAATTATAGGGGAAACAAAAAGTACTTTTACTTCAAAAGAAGCGTTTTGCGGGTTTCTTTCACGTTTTGTACTGCTTTCTCAATTCTCATTCAATAAAAATCTCTCTTAAAAAAAAAGCATTTAGCGGGAAAATGGGAAAAGTTCTTTTAACGGTTAAAGAGTATGTTTAGTGCCTGGTTTAAGAAGCAACACTGCAACAGATTGGTGGAGCTTATTCCAATTTCCAAAAAAGAGCTCATGATACAGGGACTTGTATCCATGTTCCCATAAGCATCCCAAACAGCCTCACAGTCTACACATGCTATAGGAGGCTTTCCCCAATGCTCCACACAACCCACAAGCTAAAAGCCACAACAAGTCCTACACCGCTCTTATTGATGGCAAGAGAATAAATCGGTAAATAATGCCAGCAGAATCACTGAAACTCAAATACACAATATGGTTTGAAACTCTAATAAAAATTGTTTTCAAAAATAGGCTTGAAAGGGTAATGAAGATGGAGATGTCAGGTTCATGATTCAGCTATTCTTCATTATAGAGTCAACAACAGGAAGGGGTGCTAAAACTTGATAGTATTATCCAAACAAACATATAGAAGTAAAACAAATCTAATCATCTCCTCCAAAAAGATCAAAGCCCATCTCCTCTTCGGATTCATCTTCAACCTTCTCTTCCTTTTTCTTCTCTTCAGCAGCTGGGGCAGCCCCACCGCCACTGGAAGGTGCAGCAGCAACAGCTGCCACACCACCACCACCACCGCTTGGTACGGAAGCTAATTTCTCCCTTCCAGCTGCAATCAACTCAGTGATATCTTTCCCCTCAACTTGAGACAAGAGCAGCTCAAGCTTACTATCATCGGCCTCGGCACCAACTAAGAAATCAGAGTTACATGAGAAAAGTAATGACAAGAATACAGGACTAGAGTATTGCACATATGAAAAAAATGAAGATTAGGATGTTAGCCAGCCCCTAATGCTTATGGAATTAAGGCTTGGATGTTATTGTTGAAGAACAATCGACCATACATCAAACAGGTTGGAAGCAAAGGTAATCTTTTAAGAGTTGCAGCGTTTTCATCTATATATACTCTTTTTTTCATGAGAAAGGAAAGCTAAGTGCAGCATATTTTCAAAATTACTCGAGTCAGTGAGTAACAAAAGAAGAACAAGGACATGCAATGGACTTTATTTAGTACACATTAGAAACCATGATTGACAGAAACCATATGATACAGATAAGTAAATAAGTTATTCATTAAACCCAGCATGTAAATAACAAATGGTACAAGTATTCGTTAAACCTATCGATGTAAGAAAATGCTCATGAAAGGGGGAGAAAAGCCAAGGCAAGTTGAACTCTTGTGTTTGCTTTCACATAATGCAAAGGAAAACAAATCATTCCTAATGCTTCAGAAGATTTAATAAGATGTATAATTCCTAGGTTTCTATAACATTTCGCCTTTAATGTCCAACCTGATTTCTTCTCCTAGCAAAATCCAGGTTCCAGTGCTTCACATAAGCCTTAAGTGACAAAGTACTGGACTCGAGTCCACTCTTTTTTTTTTTTTTTTTTTTTATTTTTTTTTTTTTTTTATTAATCACAAAATCCTCTACTTTGATCCAATTTACATGCGATATAGTGGTAGTAAATTTAATCACGTGAATTGGTCAAAGAGACATAATAATGGCGTCCTTTCAAAAGATCAATTTGAAATCATAAACTCTCAATTAACACGACCTTGCAGCCAAAAATACGTATATACACTGAACAACTAACAAAACCTCACATACACACATCATGAAACAGATACAAATTAACGTCGGATGCGGCATATTGAGAAATATCTATAATTTAGATTACTGTCATACCAGAAGAAAGGATTTTCTTGATGTCACCGGCGGAAGGGCTGGTTTTGCCTCCGAGCACAGCCAACAAGTATGCAGCGATGAACTTCATGTCTCTTTCCCTCTATTATAGTTTCATAAACGAGAATGTCAGAACACAAAAGAACTGAATTAACTTCAAAATATATCTAAAGCATTTGATATATCTAAAGCATTTGATAAATCTGAAATTCATAAAGAACTGAATTAACTTCAAAATATGAGAATGAAACGTATCTAAATAAAACGTACGTCAAATTCGAGCTAGCATCAGATCTAAACTGAAAAATAAAGTTCTTCGATAAAAACTTTATTCCATCGCAGTCTATGATTCTACGGAGCATGTCCTTGGCCATCAGTGCGATGTATGAGTTACAATGATAGATGAAATAAGGAACGAGTTCATAAGAAGTAAGGAACTTAAACTAAAACTGAATTTAAAACCATGCAATGAAATTATACACCAAATTGTAATACTAACCAATACATGTCAAGTGTATTTTCAGAAGAACCATACTTACGGGCTAGGTGAGATGACCTGCAAAATGATGGTGTTTAGGGCAGGGATGGTGCCGGCAGCTACAAGCGCTCAATGTGTGCTGAGCTTACTCCGGACGGGAAATAAAAATATAGGGCAGATTAGGGCTTTTGTAATCAGACTGGGCCAAGGTTAACTTGGGTTGATTTGTAAACGGGTCAAAATAAACTAGATGGTCCAACTAAGGTGCTAACTTTCACACAAAACTTTGTGAAGGTTGATTTGCATTTGGAATGTTAAATTAAAAATTGTATGATAGTGAATTTTTAACTTTACCCACATTTTTATTACTTTAAATAGAAAAGATAACTTTTTTTACAGGACTAAATAAAAATATTTCATGAGCCCTGCTCGTCCTTGAAGAAAAAAATATTTGATTATTATTGTAAAAAAATATTTGATATAGTACTAATTTAAAAAAAAAAATCAATTCATAGCTACATGCCTACAGCAACTGTAGGAAAAATGGTTCTACAAATTAATATTATTGTTATTAATATTATTTGTAGTAAATCATTTTGAAATGAATGAGAAATTGTTTCCCGAAAAATAAGTGTGAAATTATATCTCACACGTAAACACCGTCGCCGCCGTCCAGTCGGCCGGGTCGGGTTTCGGTTTAGAGTCTTAAACCGTCCGCCCGAGTATATGGCTTAAAGATAAATTGTATTTGTCGTCTCAATTATTTGGATAATGTTTGGCAATAGACACATCCTTTGTTTTTAGAAGGAGGGTCACAACCTTTCTCTAAAAAGGTGTCTTTTGGGTGTAGAGTCTCCTGGCCAGAGCTCTATATATACTCATGCTTGCCTGCATTTTCAATAAAATCCGAATTTTCAAAAACAGTTCTTACATATTCTCTATTCCTTCGTTGCATCTTTGAGTTCGCCGGAATCCCGTTGGGAGCGAAAAACCGTTCTATCCTGGGAGACGCTTGCTACGTATGTCGGGCAAAAACGTCTTAAGAAGACAACACTTTTGTTGGGCTCGGTTGATACAAGTATTTATCTTTTACTTCTATTTATTTATTATTGCACGTAGATTTACACAGTGCCGATCCTACCAAAACTTGGTCCTGAGTCGAACTTAATAAAAGGCCCTATACATTATTTTTTTACTATAATTTTCTTTGAAATTGAAGATTAAACATCATAAAAACGACTAATTAAATAAAAATTACATTAATGTCAAAGTATTCAAATGACTAATAAAGTACAACTCGCCGGAGAGTTTTAGCTGCAAAAGTATTAATTAACTCGACATTCTAGATGTTCAATAAAGTCCTTCTAAACAGATATTTGGTAGGCTATAAATCCTTTTATGGCTTTAAATAGAAAAATATTAGAAATTTAGAAGCTAAGAAAAGAAGATGAAAGATTAACCTTGACGTTGATTGATTAAGTCTATAGATTGGAACAAGGGAATCGCAAATTAACCTTAGCTAAGGCCCTGTTGTCGATCGATTAGTCTAGGCTAGAACAAAAGAATCGCAAATCGCCTTAAAACCCTTTTCCATTTGTACGCTGATGGCTATTCCGCTTCTAAACTGGTCGAACAAAAGTAATTGGGGGACTTTTGGGTTTTCCTTTTTGAAGTACAATAGCAGAGTCAACGGACAAAGGTTAGACAATGTTGGGAAATAGTTTTAATTCAAATAAATGTGGGAAACTAAAGAATTGCTAGATACACGAAAAGAGTTCCCAGAAAGTTCTATCTTTAATGTTCCAATTAAATGATGTTTCAATGCCTATTATATATAAAGGCATCCTCCTGTAATTCAAAAGCAGAGTTCCTGGGTAGAATATGATTCCCTTCTCATATATCAGCACATAGTGTGTGTGAGTGTGATTTGATATCTCCAGGTTCTTTCTAACCGGTGCTCTAACAGGCAAAAAGGAAGCCCAATATGTAAATTTAATACATATATATACTAAAGAAATATCTAAAATGTGGGCCCTAAAATTTTAACAATTTTTTGGACCCTGAGGCAAGTGCCTCATCTGCCTCAAGCTTTGTTGGTTATATACGGTACGTGAATAATACAATAATACGTACGTTCGTGTATAATACGATACAATTATATAAAATACGGCTTAATATATGTTCATACGTTCGTGAAATATATAAAGATACAGACGAGTTTTAAACGTTTCACAAGTTTTAAATAAGTATGTGTCTTACATGCTTGTTTAATGATAGAAAAAAAGAGTTATTTAACATTTGCACCACAATCCTCAACAATTTAAAATGAACGGAATAGTTTTTTTAGATTTACGGATTTAAATGCATAGGTACAATACGTAATAAAAATGACATTGCCTATTTAAGTAGAAGTGAAGAGATATTACTAGAAAAAATAGTTGATATTACTTTGACCACGAGTTTAGTGAGCCGCCACAAGTTTTTTGATCTCTTTGGAGTCTTGGTATGGGTGGAGAACAAAAGTATTACAGTAGTAGTACAATAGAAATATCAAAATAGATTACGAATTTAAGATGCTAATTCATTACATGTAATGACCATTAAACAATTAGCAAACATATAAGACATAACGTTTTTTTAAGCAATATAAATAATATTGAGTAGTTTGACATGTATTTTGTTTCAGTTGTATCACTCCATTAGGGTTCTGTTTAGTAGTGTTTTTTTAATAAAATACGTATCAATACGTACAGTCCCTGTTCTAAAAATCGGCCTAGTCGGACCGATTAATCGGTCTAGGCGGCCTAGGCGGACCTAACTGTAGAGGCCTAGTCGGTCAAAAATCGGCCTAGTCGGCCAAAAAATCGGCCTAGTCGGCCGCCTAGGCGCTAGGCGCCCCCCAACCGCCCGACTAGCGCCTAGCGAGGTTTAGAACAATGCGTACAATACGTGTTTTTTTTATCCTAAGTCTGTGAGTTTTTCAGAATCTTCTGAAAATTTCATAAACAGGAGTATTATACGTAATAAAATACGTATCAATACGTACGGTACGTGTATTATACATTTTATCCTTGAAGTACGTGAATTTTTCAAAAAAATTTGAAAAATTCATAAACGGGAGTATTATACGTGAATTATACGTTCGAGTGTATTATACGTGAATTATACGCGAATAAACTAACAGAGGCCTCAAGCACCGCACGTATAATTAGGGGTGAACAAAAAAACCGAAAAACCGAAACCGACCGACAAACCGACCGAAACCGAACCGACCAAAACCGAAACCGACTCAAACCGAAACCGACTCAAACCGATTAAACATTGGCGGTTCGGTTTACGGTTTCACCTTTGGGGTTAAAAAACCGACCGAACCGAAACCGACCGACAAAAACCGACAAAAACATGCTAAAACTAACCGAAACCGACACGAACCGACCGATATTAACCGAACCGAAACCGAACCGAAACCGACTCAAGTAGTGCGGTTCGATTTACGGTTTCAGCTTTTCCGGAAAAAAACCGACCAAACCGAACCGACCAAACCGAAAACCGACCAAACCGAACCGACGAACACCCCTACGTATAATACTATCGGACCACTGGCTATGGATTCCGCCAACTTCCCCTACCCTTGCTCTAAGTTATACCACTGGGAAAGGGAATGCGTTGTTCAAGGAAAAGTAGGGATTTTATTTAGCTCGGCTCTTTTCGAACAAATCAACCACAGGTATATACAGTTTCAGCAAGATGGTAAAGAAATAATAACTTAAGAATAAGATGGTAAAATCTCTACTAATTTTAAAAGTTCAAAAATATCCATAAGATTGTAGAAAAATTGAATTGGTGGAACATACATCTCACGTTAGAGATTTTTTTTCATGTGAAAAAAGATTATTAGCTTCAGCCGTTTTCTTAAAAGTATCCACTAATATATTTTAGATATAATAAAAATATTTTTAAAGTTTGAATGAACTAAATTATTTAGAATTACAGTTTAGCTAAATTTTTGAAATATTCTTTATACCTAAAACAGATGCTGGTGAATGATCTTTAGGACAAGGTCGAAATCATTCAAGTAAGTATTTAATACAGGATTAGATGTGCGGATAAACTGTAATTATAAATAATATCCCAAAAGTTTAACTAAACTGTAATTATAAATAATGTTCATTCCAATTTTTAAAATTGTTAATACAGGATTAGATATGCGGATAAATTTTTAAATGTTTTAGATAGACTGCATAAGCTAAATTTTTCACCACAAAGTGTACTTTCTTGTGGAAAGATTCTTAATGCGATTAAATTTATTTGTTACCAGATCAGATATGCAAGTGAGTAAATTTACAGGATTAAATCTATAACTTTGCTAAACATGATTAGGAGTTATTTAAACTCTCACTAAAGGATAAGGAGGGGGTAAAAGTATATTTTTAATAGTACAAGAGTCTAGGTGATAATACGTGAAACCTCTAAAGGCATAAAGAAGTGTGAAAACCAATTACGGTCACTAGGAATCCACTCGTGTGCAGCACCACGATTAATGATTATTCCTAGTTACATACTCCGTATTAAGTGAGAATTACTTAGTACAAAAAGTATCTACTGAATGATGAACAGGAAGAAATTACAATATCAGTGTAACAAAGTGAAAACATCACATTCATAACAACCATACAAAAAATGAATCCATTAATAAACTCATGTGTTCATTCATGACAATCATATAATTCTTGTTAGAGCTCATTTAGTACTTGAAGGTTTTGAAACACTTATTTGTACACGACATCCTTGTTAAGGCTGGTTTGCAACCACTTTAAAAAAAGCACTTCTCAGCTTTTGGCTCAAAAAAGCACTTATTTACCAAACACTACCAATTTTTTATTTTTCTCGGCTTTCGTGTCAAAAGTGCTTTTCCACTTTTTATACACCAAAAGCACTTATTTTACCAAACACTACCAACTTTTACTTTTCAAAATCACTTTTTTCTCAAACACTATCAACTTTTACAACTAATCACTTTTTCCAAATCACTCCAAAAGTGCTTTTTTTAAAGCAGAAGCTGTTGCAAACACTCCCTTAGTTACTTCATTCTCGTTTGAAATAAGAACTTTTAATCCCTTAAGATTAATTACTCTCGATACGGCACCACTATTCGGAGCCGTGATCATTGTTCAAGTTTTCTGTATGAAATGTGTTTATTTGTATGAATTTCAATTTTCTCAATAAATAAATGAAAAAGGGCAACTAATCCAAGACGCCAACTTTAAGTTAAGACTAGTCTAGGGTAAAGATAGAATCAGAATCTTAATTGTGTAAAGTGATTATTGACTCAATTTACCTCCAGTTTTTAACTATTTTCAAAAGAAGGCAAAAGTAGAAGCAGAATGCCTCAGTAAAAGTCATGCTCTGAAAGAATGGTAATTGGTTTGGAACAATTATGGGTACTATGAGGAACTGAATAATGGGTGTCTAGCTCGATTCCTTTACTTGATTGGTTTATTTTGGAATTGAAGCCATGTGCATGTTTGGTATATTTAACAGAAAAGACTCTAAAACCTTTTAGTTGTATACTGTATTTGTTACTCCAGTTATTCCATATAACAATTTTTATGAGTTTTTTTAATCTAAGATATTTTTTTAAAAGCTACAATGAGTAAAATTTGATACAAAGTCCGTGCTTTTAGCTTAATTAGACAGAATAGGTTGTTATACCAAACAAAATTAATTCAATCAGTCAACTTTATCAACTAAATACAAACTTTTTCTCTTAAAATATTTCAGTTAAGAAATGCTAACAATATCCAAAAATCTCATAAGAGTATCTCCTTTTCCAATTTGACGTGGTTCTGGAACCATGATTAGGTTCATCCTATTTTGGTCCATGTTGGCATCAAAGTTGGAATTTGTATCGGCACATGCCAAAAAATAGTTGTGTGTAATGTGCAAGAGAAGTGCCCCACATTGGAGCGTTAGTTCAAGGTATTTAAAATAAAAAATGTTTGGTGTATATTTTTTTTCTACATCATTCACACACTTTATCTTTGTATACAAACAAAGTGTGCTAATGGTGTACAAAAAAATGTGTACACTAAACATTTTTTGTTTCAAATGGTGTAGCGTCCAATTTTGAAGTGATGTGAGGTGAAATTGTCCGGTGTTGCCTTTTATTTAATACTACTCCTATCCTAAATTGATAATTTTGTCACAAATTTTGAATGTTGACCGATGAAAAGTTAACTTCTCCCCAAACAATGGTATGTATAATCAACATTTCAAATGATATATTTAGAAATCGCATTGGTTGTTTTGAATCGCAAAAGTTTAAGATGAATATGATAAAAATTTGATACACATAGTTTGAGATTAATAGTCAATTGTATTTATCATTTCAATTTAATGTTTTGATTTTATAAATTTTTGTTCTCACATTTTTTTTACTATTGAGATAACACATCACTCTTTTCATTACAAAAAAATCTTATTGATAACCAAGTCGAAATAACTCACCATCGTTAACTATAGTTTGATTCAATAACCAAGCCATATCACTTTATATTACTAACTAATTTGATTCTAATTTTTTTAACCCAGTTGAGCTTCTTAAAGACTATGAGACCATTTTTATATTACGTTTGTCATAAACCATGATAGAGAAGGAGAGGCTGTGTTAGACATGTGACGAAAAGATTATCATTTATTCACATTATTACATAATAACATAAAAAAAAAAATATGAAGATCACGATCTCTTTTAACTCCATCTTCTTATGTCAATTTATGTTATCCAACTCCAATCTCTTTTGGGACAAATACTTTATGTTATTGCTGTGCTTGTTAATTGAGTCTCTTAAAGTACTTGCATGTACCAAATTGCCCTACTTAATTAGAAAAATTAACCAAGTATGCTTGAGCACTGAATTCGGTAATACATTATACATGGATGTGTATCAGTGTATGTGTGTAACTGTGTATATTGAACACAGTATATGCACCCACATATTTTTTAAAAAGAAGTTTATAACGCCTAAGAATTATTGTATTAAGACCGTATCTTACATCACAACATATTGTACATCAACGTACTTACGTACATAAATCACGAACAATAAATACTTGGAATAGTTAAGTCTGCTGTTGGCAAAATTACATTTTCTTATGTAGAATCTTGTACAACTAAATAAAGGGGTATTAGTGATCATTTGATCAACATCATTTGACCCTTTTATCTTCAAGCAAAGGCTTTCCTATGGAAAATTTGCTTCCCATCAGGTGGAGATTTTGCCTATACAATTGAGTGGTTGACATCCTTCTGTAATCAATTCATGAACCAGGAATGAAAGGAACTTCAGAAAGGTTCAGATTGTGAACAGCCAGATATGCAGCAATTCCAGCAGCATAACCAGCAAAAGCAAATCCACTGACCTGCATAATGTACAACAATATTTTTAAAAAGTTTCAACTTGTAGAGACATTTTTTTTAGCAGAACTATGGTTCGTTTGGTACCCAAAATACACTAGGGAAGGAAAACATAAATGAAAATCAGAAGGAAAGTGTAAGGACAAATAAAGATAAGCTAAAACTCAATAAATTTATTTTAGGTATTTGTTGAAACTCAGTTCACTAAATTATGATTACTAAATAAAAAGGTGGAAGCCTATGCACATGTGCATCCCCACAGGGTGAGGTCCGGGGAAGAGTACCACTGTACCACCACTAGGGTGTGTAGTTCCAATTTCCAAGCCTTCTCTAGTCAAATTTTCACAATAGACCAATCCCAAGACTTGAACAAATGACTCCTCAGTCACATCGCAACACCTTTACGGCTTTACCTGTATGCCAAGACTCCCCTTCAATTGTATCTACTACATATATACAAGATATATCTAAATATATTAAATGCAAAAACACTTGAGCAAATATTTCATTTTTCTTTGACTTTTCCAGGAAACTTTCATCAGCATTTTTTTCTTTATCTCCAAAGCATTGTCCAAGATCCAAACATACCCTCAGATTATAAATAAATCAGCTGTGCCAAAAAGAAACACAAAAAAACCTTCTTGAGATACCAAAAGAAGTCAACTCTCTCCATCCCCATAAAAGCAACTCCAGCTGCAGAGCCTATAATCAACATGGACCCACCTGTACCAGCACAATATGCTACCAGTTGCCAGAACTCTGAATCTTTAGGAAAGTAGGAGAGGTCATACATCCCCATTGTGGCTGCAACCAGTGGAACATTGTCTATAATTGCAGATACCACCCCTACCGCACTTGCAATAAGCTCAACATTTTGAACATGGGTGTCAAGGTAATTTGCCACTTCTCTCAAAATACCTGCTGCCTCAAGGCTATTCAACACAACTTTTAGAAAGTAACAATTGAATATTCAATAAATAGTACAGGTAATATCTCATCAGGCCCTCTTATGAATCTAAATGAGCACATCAGCAGTGGGTGCCCCCCCCACAACAAAAAGAACTCTACCTATTATCACATATGATACTAGGGATAAGAGAAGCCCACTAGAGGAAGGAATGAAATGAAACACATGATAAACATTGAATTACATCATTCTACCTATTAGCACATGTGATACTCCCTCAATCCCTAAATTATCCACACTTCTCTTTCTGGTCTTTCCCAAAATTATCCCTCATTCCCTCATTTCCATTTAAGAAAACATTATGTGGTTCATATTGTTTCTCTCTATTAACAGCACACTCTTTTTTATTAACATTTAACACCATTATTAACGCCTTACTATCAGAAGTTAATTATATCTGCATTGAAACTGCATGGATATATGTTCTTATCTTGAGAAATAAATGAAGTTAGCTTTCGGCATGAGATAATCTACTTTTATGAGTAGTAGAGCAAATACAAAAAATTCATCTGCCCTGTTGGACATGGTGGAATTAGGGGTTAAGACTTAAGAGAGGTAGATCAATTTGTCAGCATGCTCGTGTGAGTAATGAAACAAATAATGAGAGTAGACTCATCAATTCATCACCATAACCATAATCCCAACTAGTTGGAATTTATGGCATGAAATTTCGCATCATTTAATTGTCTACAATTATTTAACACTACAAATCCATGCAAAATCATCATAGTAGTAATGTTTAACGCCAGATGAACTCAATATGGTAACCTTCTAAACAAGGTATGATAAGATGAGATTCTAAAACAAGTCATGTCTTATTACAAAAAACTGAAATTGCAAACTCAAGAATGCAAATCACAGATCATTACAGCGTGGTGAGAATAGAATACAACTTTAAATTATTGATTGTTTACCTGCTCACAGACAGAAGGATTCCAAGGAAAAAAAGAATTCCTTGAGTATCGATGCGTGACAAAGCTTGTGGCACTTTTAAATGCTGTCTTTCAGATTCACCATAGTGAATAGCATCAGTTAGGATCCAAAGCACTCCAAGCCCAAGAACCATACCCATGTAAGGGGGCAACCCTGTTAAGGCCTTGAATATTGGTACAAAAACTAAAGCACCTATTCCAACAAATAAAACAAGCTGTCCCTGTGGGGCCATCTTTTCAGCAGCCAAAACATCTTCTGCAGGATTATGTTCCTTCCCATTCACTTCACTGAATAGAATAAGAACAAGTCTGCATAAAATTTTATCCGTAGCAATACTAACTGTTTCCTACACCCTCTGCGTCCCTCCCCCGTTCAAAAAAGGTCCTTTCTCATCTCATCAAGGTGCAGTTTTTTTTTTATTATGATACCGTACAACCCTTGTAAATTATCAATCCTACATACATATCCTACATTTTTTCTCTGAAACTAAATTTAACATATTTAAATTGTTAATAACATTTTTTGGAAAATTACATCAAATGCAATAAAAAATGCTTATTTCTCGCTAATATATGATTCTTGGGGGGGGGGGAATAAGTGTTGAATCAGGACTCTCTTTTTGGGGTTGGGGCAGGGAGAGTTTTTCAAAGCCTCTTAAGACCTTTTGCATAGTAAATAAGAAAACTACCTCCCCAGAGACATTAAAGCTAATGGAACAGCTAGAGAGATTGATGATGGCAAAAATAGCCCCTGCAAAAGGTAAAAATGAATTAAACTTCTTACGAACGGTTACAACAATTTGGACGCAACGTGCAGTAGATCTTTATTTTTGAAAAAAATATGTAATCACTTCAATGATCAGAACTACTTTTCCCAAGCTCTACGATATGGAATATTTCAGAAGAATTTTGACAATGCACAATACCCTCATCAATATGAAGTAAATAATTTAATTATCACCAAAACATTCAATGCTAAGCCAAAACAAATATGATGTTCCCATGGACATCAAAACCTTCATTGTTGGTAGTGTGGTTATTTGACCATGAATCCAAAGCATAGTGGTTGTAACATCACCAATTGGAGTCCATGCTCCTCCAGCATTTGCAGCAATCACCACAACCGCACCAAGAAGTCTGCCAACATAATTTGCAACACATTAATCAAGATTCCATTTGGGACCCCGGAATTTCTAGGATATATAATGGAGATAGAAGGGAAACTTGAAACAAAAAGAAATTCAGGAAATGTTAAAATAAATGCATCGAACTCCAAAAAATCAATTTTAGATGTCTGCTCAAACTCATTCTTTTATAAAATAGAATGATATAAAGAGCACAAATAGAAATCATTTCAAAGGACTGAGTGACAAAGATCAGTAGTGCTTGCACTCACTTTCGATATTCTGATGGAGGTGTCAACCTCCTTAACAAGGACACCATCACAATTGTAGTTGTTAGGTTGTCAAGGATTGAACTAAGAAAAAAGGTCAGGAAACCTACCTATATGAAAGTTAGGTCTAATTAGCATGCAAGTTGCAGAGGGCTTTAAAGGATAAATTATAAATAAAATAAATAAATAAATAAATAAATAAATATAACATAAAGTATCACCAACCGCCCAAAGCAGAGATTTTGGCTGGCGAGTAGTAATGCTATCTGTAACCATCTTAAAACCTTGGTGAGCATCAACTATCTCTACAATTGTCATGGCACCAAGCAGAAAGAACAGTATTTCACTAACTTCACTAGTAGCATGTGAGAGCTCTGAAAGTGCTACATCAGTTGAAGGGGCCTGAAAAAGCAATAAATGAAATAGTAAAAAGGTAATGAACTCTACCATATTCATTTTGCGTGGAAAACTGTCATTTATGATTTGCAAGAGTGGCATTTAAAAGTACATTTTTAGTTCTGTTATATGTTAACATGGGAAAAATATGTATCTACACCGGTTTTAATTCCTCGCCTACTATATATGGACTTATAATTCTTATATTCCTTCACGCGATCTTTTAAATTTTTTGCGATCTTTCCATTTGTTTCAGTTTCTCTTATTCTTATAAATTTCCTACAGTTCGGAGGAAAATATTTCAATCACTAAAAGAGAGCTATTTTCACTTACTTCATTCCATTTATATAAGATTATAAATGTTGTTGAAATCATGAAGTTGTGAAGTATGAACTAAACAGAGAGCACAAAATGAGTAGATATTGAGAGCACATGAGATGACTTTTTTAAAAATAATACATGATTTTTAGGGGAAACAAAAAGTAATATTACTTCAATCGAAGCATTTTGCGGAAAAATGGGAAAAGTTCTTTTAACGGTTAAAAGTATGTTTAGTGCCTGGTTTAAAAAGCAACAGACTGGTGGCGCTTGTTCCAAAAAAGAGCTCATGATACAGGAACTTGTACCCATATTCCCATAAGCATCCCAAACAGTCTCATAGTCTACACTTGCTATTGGAGGCTTACCCCAATGCTCCGCACAACCCACAAGCTAACAGCCATAAGAAGTCCTATCCCGCTCTTGTTGAAGGCAAGAGACTCTTCAAATATTATGCCAACATATCCAATCGCAAATAACAATGACATTGCAATATCCTGAAGTAGGATATCTGATCAACCCAACAAGAAATTTTGAAAGGGAAATTGATTGTAGGATTTGTTTGGAACCTGAAATAAGAAAAGAAAGAAAATTTGCAGTAAAATAAAGGGGGGTTTGGAAGGAATAAAAGCGCGGGTGGGGAATTAAAAATTGGATCAACTCAATAAAAGAATTTAGTTATTTGGTCAAAGTTCAAACTCATTTTATGCATATGTTATACATGAAGACAAATAAATCTTAATATATGAAAAAAATTAAAAAGGTCTTAGTCAAATTTGACTTTCATTCATATTTTTCTTATGTAAAAAACATGAAGAAAAAAGACTATATCACTTACCATTAATTTCCGTTCAATACCATTTTCGGGTTCCAAACACAACCATAAGAAATGAATGATTCAGGACACAAGAATAAGGAACCTGATTTGCAGCAACCCAAGAATGATTTATAGCCACAGCTCCTGTAGCTGCTGCGGCAAAAACTGAAATAGCTTTAAGTAAATCTGTCTTTGAATAGTAACTGGGTTCAGAATCTTGCAAGCTCGTTTCATCAACAGGACACAGTGGATCGCATGCTTCGGAGGAAGGTGTAAATTCCTGGATATATGTATACTCATTTGAGTTGAGGCACATAAGATGTGTAGAATATGCCCTGAATCTAAAAAGTATAAGTCTATCACCTCCATACTGTCAGTGTAATAGTTATTCAAAATTTTATTTACCAAAAATCGCAAGTATATGTTCCACACGAAATAACAACATAATGTATAAGGCAAGCCCATGCTCAATATCACTCTGATTCAAACTTAGGCTCTCTTTAGTAGCCTTATCTAAAACATAATAAGTAGCTTTTGACTTGCTTATTTGGTTAAAATGAATGTTACATTGTTACCAGAAAATTTAACAGACTCAGCCCTTGCAGCCTAACAAACCTTAACAGGCCCTTAATGCTGCATCAGCTGAAATAGGATGATTAGCTTTCTCTTTTTTCTTCAAAAATGAACAAATCCGACCCTTCTAGCCTCATATTTTACATAAAGCCTCATGGAATTTATTTTAAAAACATTAATACATTTTACATAATCCAGCCTAGTCAAACTAAAATTCAGAAAATTCAGCCATTCAACAAAATGTTGACACACCCAAAGGTTCTAGATACCTCAGTGAGGTAAATGCTCTAAAGTCAATAAAAAACAGCAAAGCTTTGAGCTTTTAATACAAAAATGCTAAATTCTCGCAAAGCAAACAATTAAAATCTGAGTACAAGGAATCAGATAACAGTAGTCATTAAAATTTCAAAATCGCTTAAATAAAGGGGGTGAACCAGAGGTTGAGACGATTCTTGAGTGGAAATTGAAGAGCCTCTGGCTTTGTCTTCGGCTCGAGGCAGAAGGCCAACATTCCGCCGGAGTAATATGGGCACAGGGCGACCGCTGAATCTGAGGCAGCGAGTTTGGGGAGGCAAACGGGCAGAAGATTGAGAGATGTAGCGTTGATTAGAAGACAACACGCAGTGAATTCTGAGTGGATGAATGTTAGACATTTTTAAGATTGAAGGTTTAGGAAGACAAAAGACTGAGGAGTTAGTTGAAGATATGCAGAAAGTTTGACAAAGCCTACAACTTTAGGGTCTGTTTGCACAGCTTCTGCTTTTAAAAAAGTGCTTTTTTAATGAAATGGGGAGAATTGATTAAATAAAAGTTGATAGTGTTTGAGAAAAAAAGTGATTTTGAAAAGTAAAAGTGGATAATGTTTGGTAAAATAAGTGCTTTTTGTGTAATAGAAAAAGTAAAAGCACTTTTGACGCGGAAGCCGAGATAAATAAAAGTTTTAGTGTTTGAGAAAATAAGTGCTTTTTTAAAGCCAAAAGCTGATAACTGTGAGAAGTGCTTTTTTAAAAGCAGTTGCAAACCAACCCTTACAAGAGAACGCTTGTGGCACTTGTGTTCACAAGTGAGCGGCACAAAGGTAGTTAAAAGGGAGACATGTGGTAGGAGAGAGACCTAAAATATTGATTTTATGACATTTCTCTCCCCTTCTTTTCACGATCGTGTGTGTTTTGATAAGTTTTTGTCTGCAATGTCAACCACAATGTCTACATCTAGACATTGTGCTTGACATTGTGAATAAAAACTTACCAAGATGATGTAAGATCATTCAAATAAGGAGAAATTTTTTTATTTATTGGTTATTTCTTATACCACGTATGCACCATTAACATTTTAACATTGGAGATGCTCTTAGAATCTCTGAAAGTGAAATATTGTTCAATTTTTGTATGTAAAGATAAACGATAATAGATTTATAGGCTCGAGAGAGTAGTATTTACTATTTCTATAAACTCGTAGGATGTTTTCTTTTGGACTGTTTTCAGTCCCAGACCAGACCAGACTTAAATAGACCAGACCAGACCAGACTTAAATAAACCAGACCAGACCAGACTTGGATAGTTATAAAATACACAGAGACCAGACGTTTACCAGACCAGACCAGACTTAAACAGACCAGACCAGACCAGATCAGACCAGACCGGCAAATTTCAGTCCAAAAGAAAACATTCTTAAACAATAAAAAATACTCCATTCGTCCTAGTTTGGTTGTCTTACTTTCCTTTTACGGTTGTCCTAAAATGAACGTTTTGTTTCCTTTTTCAGCAAGAAGTATATGATCCATATCATTTCACTTTGTCATGCACCCTAGTTCAATACTTGGCTCCTCCGTCAGTCGATCCAAAATCAACCGACCAATGTGCCTTCCTGGAATGCTCGTGCATTCAAGATCCTCAACCAAGTGTGAAATAATGGGAAAAGGGTACTCCAATAGGAGTCCTGACAGATATATTTATAATAGAAGAGTTGCCAAAATACAAAGTATTCCTAAATAGATATTACGCAGATTCCTAAATATATATTAGGCAGATTCCTAAATATATTAGTCTATTACACCCCCTCAAACTGTGCGGGAGATACAACGCGCATGTTGTCTTTTAAAAAATGAAATTGCAAACTAAAAAAAACTCTTAGTAAATATATTCGTGAGCGGAAGATTAGAAGGCACATACATAGTATTTGACAATAAGATCTCCATGAGAGAATATATGTCTGCAGCAGCAAGCGGCGAACTCAACAGCGCGCTTGAAGCAAGCACTGTGATCAGCGACGCAGAGAAGGTGGGCTGCGCGGACATAGGCAGCAGCAGGCGGCGAACTCAACGGCACGCTGAAAGCAAGCACCGTGTTCAGCGACGCGAAGGAGGTGATCTGCGCCATATTAGCCGCACTCATCTTCAAAGGATCGGAGACTACCGTAAATGTGGCGGCAGTCGACCCCGAGGCGGCGGCGGCTATAATAAGGTTCATAGGAATCTGCCTAATATATATTTAGGAATCAACCTAATATCTATTTAGTCTATTACCAAGTAGAGTTCGTGGATGACTTGGTGTCGTCATTGATCCAAAGGTCATCGTCAAAGCTCGCATTTTATCAAGAGTAGTGGCAAAGGCATGGCAGTATATTGAGGTGGGCAGGAATAAAGAATATTTATGAGAATTGAAAATTGGGGTGGACTGGGGCCTAGGTTGCCCCCTGGCTACATGCCTGATCCAGAGAACGAAAATCTGGTTCTGTGATGGTGGAGGAGTTATGATACTGAAATCTCGATTTGGACAGTGATGGAGTATATGGTCTGGGGACCCCCGGCCCACGGACTCCTACTTCTCCTACACAGACCCATCAAGCCCAATGTGCGCAAAAGGCCCTAACATGACGGCCCAAGCGTGAATAAGCCCACGATACGCATCTAGGTGCCTTCGGTCTTATGACCGAGGTCCCCAAAATCCACAGGGCAGTCAGATTTGGGCATACAAAGCTACTGGGAGAAAAACATAGAAAATAGGAGCCTTCGGCTCCTAGGCGCCCTCGGCACCTGGGTAGCCTTCGGTACTTGGGTAGCCTTCGTCTACACAGGGCATTCGGCAACAGCACGCTCAGCGAAGATTCCTTTTACAGACAGGCGCCTACCACATTCAATTCGGCGTCATGTCCAACCACCGCATTTAATGCGGTGCACATGCATATGCCGGTGCCACCCCGAATGAGGTGACCCTCGGCCGTTAGATTATTGACACGTGTGTCCATATCGCATTTATGGCTACTATAAATTGCAGCCCCTTTCTCCTTATAAATGATCCTAACATCTCGAGTTCATTTAATATATTTGACTCTCTCTCCTACTTGCTTGCTCTGACTTCTCTCTAGGTTATTCCCGCAATAACCCTTCGGATAAGCTACCCCGGGTCAGGGGCGGAGCCAGAAAAAGGACTCAGCGGGGTTGAAATCAAATTTACATAGAATCAAAACGGTAGATTATTTTTAGACAATACCCGAATTGAATGTATCTTAGATAAATGATAGTTTAAATGAAACTAATAGAGTATATGTAGTTAATATACTTCGTATATGTCACATATATTATAAACTTGTTTTATAAGGGTTGAGTTGAGTAATTCGGATGAGACCCAGTGTCTTACCTTAGTACTCTATGGTTCTCTTCGATCTTACTCGATGTAGTATCAAGATTTCTTACTAGAAAAGAATCATTTATTGAGTAGACACTCGTAGCAGTAAGATATGTTGTCTTTGCTCTGTCCCTAAGTCATGTCACGTAAGTAACGAGTGAATTACACACTATTTTGTGAATATAATTAATATTACGCATCACAATTTTACTAATTTCAAACTTAAATAGTGATGATTTTACAGAAGTCATAACTTTTTACTCGTAATGAGTTACGAGAGCCATAATATATCAAATCGAAGATATTTCAGAGCTCTACACTCTTAAATTTTCAGCGGGATCGGCTGACCACCCTGACCCCAGTAGCTCCGCCCCTTCCCGGGGTACGCTGTCCATCAGACAGTGAATTGTCGATGGTTGTAGGTGTTGCAGCTATAAAATCTGGAGATAAGCGATGGTGGTAGACTTGAAGTGATAGGGAATGGATAGAAGAAGGTTTGGATAATTATACCAATGGGCTTAGTTGTAGCCATGTCAAATCTAGACAAAACCTTTCGAATGTAACCCTGATGTGAATAGCACTGAAATCATTCATGTCAAATTCAGCACCAAGAGGAGCCTTTAACTTCTGAACATTAGGACGTGACTTCATCATTTGCCCTTCCTTGACAAATGTATATCCAAACCTTATGTAGCAAATTGCTTGTGCTAAAAGGAGGACTACACTCCTTAGCGAGGCCAAGACTGCCTTATACAAATGAAAAGGCAAGACATATATTTCTTGCAATCGGTAATTATGAGCTATAAAAAGACAAATTAAACATGTTTACATATAGTAACTATGGAGTATATATGATGAACATGAAGATGGATATTTTGAAGTTGGTTATAAAAATGTTGGATATTCATTTAAAAGTATACCATTTTATTATGTTACTGTAATATCAACTTGGGGAAATCGTCAAGAGTTATTGTGGATAACTTTTTATCGAATTTTGTCTAGTGTCACGTACTTAATACGTAGTATTTAAGAGTTTCCTATTCCCTTTATTTTGATTACATACTTTGTTCTATAGATAAATTTAGGGGCAAATGACAGTGGTAGCTATTTCATACGGAGTATATGTAATCCAATCTTTCCAATCATCGTTCTCTTGGCTACAAAAGTTATAAAAGTATACATAATGTAAATTAATTGCATGATTAACTATATATTCCCCAAAACAAATATAGCATAATACAAACATGACAACTCATGGAGTTATTATTGCATTGCTAGATGTTTTTTTGGATATACTTAAAAATGCCATATCTAAGATTTTACTTTAGCCATTGTATTTTAAATTCTCACAGTATTAACTTTTCAAAAGCCTTGTTTATTGAAAAACATTTGCATAATGAAAGATATAGAATGGACCGATTAAAACAAAAGAAATATATCAAGTAAAACTAAAAGAAATGATATAACATACAAAAATACAAACAATTTATTTATTTCTTGATAGTAAATAAGATAGAGGGGAACAATATTGGGAGTTCATATACATGCATGACACAAGTGCGTGATCCCATCGTGTAGTGAAATGAATAAAAAATTAAATCAATGACATTTTCCTCGATAGCTACCATGTATACAAATGGAAGGAACTATTAATTAGCTAGAACGGCACAGAGTCGACAAGCAATGCAACAATGTGAGGTTTTAAAACCTTTTCAGGATGAGTATATCCATCTTGGTTATGCTGGTATGTGACAAAAACAATGCGAGCAAGATTTACGATGCGCCAGAGGATATCACCAGAAACTGGTGTTGGCTTGAGAAGGCCTTCATTCAAATCTCTCAATGCAATTGTAGCTAGTTCTTCAAACTTTCTCATCGCCCCGTCTAGTGATGTAGCATGTTCATTCATGTAACATTCAATTCCAGTAATAACTTGTCCTCTATCTTTCTCGACCTGAGAAAATGGTATGATAGAAATGATTAAGTAATTTATTTTCACAGGAAAAAAGAGATATATGGATCATATGGAGTTCATTAAAAATTCATTATTACAATTTCAATACTTACATTAAATGTCGCTATGTCATCAATCGTTCTACATAA